TTATAAAAAAACTTCTCGAATATCTCCGAACAGCCCTATCCTAGTGCCCTATCCTCCGAAACGGTCGAACTCAAGTTTCAGATATTGTTATTTGAGGGTATGCGCTCGAGATTATTTGAGGTTATTTAAGATTATTTGAGGGATTATTTGAAATTATTTGAGATTATTTACTAGAGATTATTTGAGATTATTTGAGGGTATGCGCTCGAGATTATCGCTCGAGTTATCCTATCCTAGCGCCCTATTCTCCGAAACAGTCGAAATCAAATTTCAGATATTGTTATTTGAGAGTATGCGCTCGAGATTATTTGAGATTATTTGCTCGAGATTATTTGATTATTTGAGATTATTTGCTCGAGATTATTTGAGGTTATTTGAAGGATTATTTGAAATTATTTGAGATTATTTGCTCGAGATTATTTGAGGGTATGCGCTTGAGATTATTGCTCGAGTTATTTGAGGGTATACTTCGAAACAGCCCTATCCTAGCACCCTATCCTCCGAAACAGTCGATCCTCCGAAACAGTAAACCCTCAGATATTGTTATTTGAGGGTATGCGCTCGAGATTATTGCTCGAGTTATTTGAGGTTATGCTCCGAAACAGCCCTATTCTCCGAAACAGTCGAAATCAAATTTCAGATATTGTTATTTGAGGGTATGCGCTGGAGATAGTAATGATTTAAAACAATAGAGCTCTCACGGTTGCGGTTACAGTGGAAACATTTTAAAATTTCCGAATGGGAATTCACACTTTTTTTCTGCGTAAACTTATCAGCATATTGAAAATCCATTGGAACAATACATGTATGACGGGAATTGCCGGCGTAAAACGTAAAGAACCAATGAAAACACAAAGTGGGGAAAGAGAAGAGAATAAAAACATTTATTGGAATTATAAGTTTTCAAAGTGCCCACCTTCGCAGATGATGACGTATTTCATGCGGGAGATTGTTGACAACAATGACGAACCTAGTGCGCTTCGGCCGTAATTACGATTTAACTCAAACATTGAGAATTGCAATTTAAGCTCTGATTATGACATCATTTTTTTTTACGTACTTCGCAGTGTTTAAGAGTGTTGCCATTTGAAGAACTTCAAATTTGGGGATTAAAATTTTTGCAACTGAATTAACTCATAATTTCTTAAAAAACTGGGTGATTTAAAAAGACAGTAACACACTTTTTACTAGCTTAAATGTTCATTTTGCTTTTTAGCAACATTTTTAGTTGATACAAATTAAGATACATTTCATTTATTTTATATCAAATTAATAATATTTAAAGCATTTTAGTTTTTTTGTTGATTGCTGTGTTTAACGCCACAAAGCATTAATTTATACTTTTCCGAAAAGTAGTAAAATCTTTGGCACTTACAATATTGCGCCATAACCATACTTCCATTTACCTCTAGTCTCTACATATAATAAAAGAAAGAGTCTGTGTGTCTTTCGTTCGTGCTGCGCTTAAGCCAATAGACCCAGGGCTACGAAATTTGGTAAATAGGTGCATCTGGACAAGAGGCCAGTGCACCTCGAAACGAGTTTTTCAAAATTCGAATCGGATTTTTTTAATTTTATCTAATCGATTTTATCGCATCATTTTGAATAGCTCCATTCTTTTAGAAAAGTGGTTTTGGCAACAGTTATTCATTCAATTGTATACTGGACTGCTGACTGTTGAAAATCAGCAGTGTTGCCACTTGGAAAAATGAGGGCGATCGTTCTGTGCAGTTTTTAAATTTAATGTTTCTCTTGGATACTGGACGTTTGTCGAGAGAAGGCAACGGGAAGGTGGTTAATTTACTTATTAGGATAATTAACATTTATATTAAGGGATATTGCTTATTTCATTGTACTTTTGTTATATGTAGCACTTTTTTTTAATTTATGGATTTTTTTTTTTTTTTTTTTTTTTTTTTTGAAGTTCTGCAGAGTAGAATTCTGCGCAGTTTTTAAGTTTTAACGTTTGCTATTCCCTTCAGGTATTTTTCCGGTACATTTAAAAGCCAGGCGAAGGCTTTCCACGTAGCTGCTAGTGTTAGTTTTCTTTTGTAGTTAAATAATGACTCATAAAAACGATTTAAAAGACAAACAAAAATTTATTAGAGATAAATCTACTCGTACTTGATAAACTTACACGTAATGTATTCGTAAACGTACATAACTAGCAGACGTCTTACTGCATCGTACCAATATACAGTTACAAAAAGTCTGCGTACAGATAAATTTAAATTAAAAATAAAACTTAAAAGCATAGAAAAATGTATTTTAATCATTCATTTTTTTTCTTCTATTAGCTAAAATTGTAAGCTTAAATAAAAAGTAAATAATATAGTGTAATACTTTTTACATTTTTTCAAAAATATATTTTGTCAAAAAAACTCAGAAATTCCCTCAATAATAATAAAAAGAAAAAATAAGTCTGCGTACGCTTTCCCCCCCCCCCCAAAAAAAAAGGCAAAATATAAGTTTTTTACATTAAAAGTTATTTTTACATTAAAGTTAGTATTGAAGTAATGTAAAAGTTTTTTACATTACTTCAATACTTTGTAGGATAACCTTTATTCTTCAAAACAGCTTGCAGACGTTTGGGCATTGACTGAACTAGTTTTTCAGTGTCATCCGACGTAAATTTCGCCCATTCTTCCTGCAATTTACTAATTAGCTCATTACGTAATATTGTGTTTTCGAATTCGTTTCTCCAATTTTGCCCACAAATGTTCGATTGGATGAGATCTAGTGACTGTGGAGGAGTACGCAACTGTCTTGGTGTGTGATAGAGGAGATATTCCTTCACAATTTTAGCTGTTTATTTCGGGTCGTTGTCTTGTTGGAAAATAAAGGTATTAGAAAGGTTTAAATTTCGGGCACTGTCTCGTAGATTTTTCTTCAGAATATCCGGATAAACATACTTATCCATGACTTTAACAATAATGGGAAAATTTCCAACTCCTTTCGACGACATACACCATCCATACCATCACACCGTCAGTTTCCATGTTTGACAGTTGGATTTAAATTTCTCAGATTCAGTTCTGTTCCTGGTTTTCTCCATACAATAGGGTGGCCATTAACTTTAAATATTGTAAACTTACTTTCATCTGACCAAATTAGATTGTTCCAGAAGTCCTGCGAAGAGTTTAAATATGTTTTGGCAAAAGCAGTTCTTTTCTTTCTATTTGTCTCGGAAATGTATGGCTTAGACCTAGGTTTGCATCCATGATAATGGGCCTTTCGCAGCACTTTTCGTACAGTTTCAGGAGAAATTTCCTTGTTGCTAGTTAAAAAAAATGTCTTTTGCAATGCTTGCAGCAGGAAGTTTAGGATTTTTTAATTCGTAAAAAGAATTTTTTTCTTCTCTCTGCGTTAGCTTCTTCGGTCTCCAATCTTGGTTTTACAGCAAGACTACCAGTGTCCAAGATAGTTTTGAATAACTCTTCTGCACACTAGAAAATGGTTTTGAAATGTTTTTCCAATATAGCGAAGAGTTTTACCTTCATCTCTCAATTTGATAATTAGTTGTCTCGTAACTAAAGGAATTCTTTATGGTTGTCATTTTCGTCAAAGAAATAGAAATAACAACTTCCAATCAACGTAAAATTTGCTTCGGAAGTCAATGACCTTGAAAGTGTAACCACCTTTGCATTCTCAAGTTTGAAGTTTAAAAATTAGATAAGAAATCTCCCGCCTCCTTCGCGTTGTACGCAAACTTTATTGGCTTTCATTTCTGACCACTTATCTATTAGTGTGCATAAATTATTAGATATGAAAATATTACAGTTAAATAATTTCAAAGTCCCTTATTGAAACTAAATATTTAAAAAATAAAACTTTAAGAAACTACCCTTTTCGCACCTTAAAATTTGGATTTGATATTACTTTTCTTGATGAACGCAGACTTTATTGACTAACTGTACATTTCAAGCGCACACCATCTGAATATCTTTTAAAAATTATAAAATAGAAAGGCATCCAGAAATTAGCCGTTGACATTTCTCAACTGATATTTTGTGTAATGACAATAAATAATTTACAATCGTGTTTACATTCGACCATCCTGACTTTTCAATTGTCCTGAATTGAACCAAATCTTATCACACATTAAAACGACAAATAAATAGCAACAACAAATATAATAATAGGTAGGAAAAAAAAATAAATTAAATATAATTAAAAAAAATTCTGTAAGTCCTACATAGTCCTGCTAGTATTTGATATTACCAACTTTGAATAAATTAGAAATTCGAGTAAATCTCGGGTTTGCTAAACGTTAAAGGATGTGTATGGTGTATGGTGTATTTAATTATGGCAAAGCACACGAGGGCTATGTGCCTAAGGGAAGGGATGCCTTCGTGGAGGACTTTCTAAGGGAAACTGGCTCGTATATACGTTACACATGGGGGAAAACCACGAAAACGCCCATGCAGCCAGCCCGTTCGCGGGATCCGAACCTCGAACCGAACTACCAGGGATGCATGTGAAAAAACAGCATAGAAGTTTTCAATACTGCCTTAAACAATATATATAATTATAGACTAGAAATCATTTGTTAGAAAATATGTAAATCTCTCCAGTTTTTCTATGTGTAAAGAACTGAATTTAAAATAACAGGAAAGAATTTTTTTTTTTTCCTTAAACAACATATACATCCTTGAGCGTTTTAAAGCCAAGGACTGGAAATTCCTCTTTAATTTTATCGGAAGCATATCGGGATACAATTTCATTTAGAAAAATTTGAAATAATCCTCGTGAATACGACTTCATGATATAATGTTGAACATTACGAGATGAAAATTAACACCATGGTGATAACATTGATGGATCAAATTTTGCAAAACTGATTTTACGTTAAATTTAGAACTTAACTACGTTCATTTGTATCGAACTTAGATTTAGCTTCGGCCTTCTCCCAGAATTTGAGTATAATAGCAACTAATTTGTAATTTTTTAATATAGCATGTTGTGGCAAAAATGATTAAAATGCGGATAATTATTTTTAGGTCTGCAGGAATCAAAGAAAAGTCCAAACCAAATATACAGGCAATTGGATTTCTCAGTTTGGTAAGTTTTATTTTACTTCTTATTTTTAGTGCTGAGCATTATCAGTAAAAAGGCGTTTTATAATCGCATGTTAATTAAATTCAACATTATACGATTGGTACAACTTAATAAGATGCAGATAAAATATTACTATAAAATAAAAAGATTACCATATCAACACAAAATATAATTTTATTCACCAACTCAGTAGTCAAAAACTCATCTTCTATTTTTAAAAAGAAATTGCATTCTAAAGATAAAAACTGTTGCCAAAAACGATTATATAAAAATATGAAAAGTAAAAATTTATAATTATTAAAATATTATGAGAATTAAAATATTAAAATATTGTGAGTTATTTTCAAACTAATTATTTACATTTTATGCCATTACATACGTAATACAAAGATTTGGTTTGGTTTATGTGATTACGGCAAAACCTCGAGGACTATCTGCTTGAGGGAAGGGATGTCTTCGTAGAGGACTTTCAAAGGGAAACTGGCTCGTGTACACGTTACACATGGGAAAACCACGAAAACACCCATTCGCGGGATTCGAATTCATACCGAACTACCAGTATTCAGTGGCTTTATCGCTCGATCGATCGCTGATGCGCCCTTTGTACATAACAACTAAGCTTTTAAATAACTAGGTATTTTAATAAGAGATGATATAAATTCTTTATATCATCTCTTATTAAAATACTTTATATAAATACTTTATATAAATAATACTTTATATAAAATTATATGCTCAAAAGTGCCAAATCTAGCGAAAGCTTGGCTTTGGCTAATTTAATTACTGAAAAGCCTTCGAGGGCTATCTGAGTAAGGGGAGGAATACATTCGTGGGGGACTTTCTAAGAGAAACTGACTCGTATACATATTACACAATAGGAGAATCAAGTAAACGCCCATGCAGCAAGCCTGTTCACCCGGATTCGAACTCCGGACTGAATTACCGGTATTCAGCGGCCTTACCCCTCGGCCTTTGGCAATCGAGCAATGACGCCCATTTAATCACAAATTGCGCGTAAGTGTAGATTTTTCTAAATGCACACAAGTTTTGATTACACTCAAATTTAGCTAGTTCTAGATTTTTTTACGTCACTATTAAAATACTAGTTTAGTTTTCAAAATTTTTGATATCGCTGTGGATATAACAATTTGTTAATTGCCAAGGTCGAAAATGCTGCAGCAGAATTTCTTGAAAAGAAAAAAAAAAAAAAAAAAATCTAAGATGAACTTGTATTTTATCGATAATTCAGTAGCAAAATGGCTCTGCAGGAAAGAATCCTGTACTGAGAAGAAAGAATTAAGAGCACAAAATTGGCTCGAACGATTAAAAATTCCCGTGCTTACAGAAGTGAGGTTCATCTATTTGTGGTGTCAGGAGATGAAATGTATTGAATTTTGTGAACTCCGACTGAAGGCGAACCATGAAACAGTTGGAGACAAGAATGGTTAGGCGTATATGCCGCAGATTTAGTTCCTCGGTGTACGTTGAAAATCGGCGGATCTGACGAAATTATTCAAGTAGACTAGAGCCTTGATTAGAAAGTTGAACATATTCTTCGGTCACATTGGTTTTCCAGTGGATCGTGCAGAGAACGAAATGAATGTTTTTTGGGTCGCTGTTCCAAATCAATCGGCGAGAACTTTATTGAATGGGATTGTGGCGACATCATTTGCAATACTGAAACACCATCTGTGAAACTCTTCGAGTTGAGATTTTCGTTTTTAAAAAGTGGCAACAGTAAAAGAGTTCGGAAGGAAAAAAAACATTAGAATTTATTTTGAAAAATGAAACTAATTATCATTTTCTTTAGTCCTGTTCTGTCGTTGATAAATTTAATTAAATGAATTTGTTCTCTGCAGTAAATTTAGGTTAGTCAAATTTATTTCTCCTTAATCAATGAACCTATAAATTAGGGAGCGCGTTCAGGACTGATTGATTGCGTTTAAATGTCTACGAACGAGAACGCTGAAGCAGCATCGGACAGATCAACATTTGCCAGGGTAAATCTAAACGCTTTTCCTTTTTGGAAACCCGATCTGCAAAATATGATTTCTTCAGATCATAGCACAATTACGAAGTTACGGCTGATCAGACAAAATATCATATGTAGTCAGTTCAATCGAAGCAGGGACATTCACAAGTCGCTAGTATCCTCGTCAAACCCCTCAGACGACGGCAAATTTCCAACTATTAAGATGCCGGATTAAGATTAACCATTAAGATGCCAACCGCCGGATGAATTTTTAAAAACCTTGCGAATGCAGTGACTACAGCTTAATATGCAGAGCACTTTGTCAATAAGCAGCGATGATTTATCCAAACAAGATATGAGAATTTAATCCCAGTCTATGTCAGATATCTCGCGTTGTTTCTCCACCATCTGATAACAATATATCCCACGATTTGCAGAAATAGATATCAAACTTAGCATTGCTGATAGCAGAAATAAGTAGACGTAGAGATTCCAGTTAACGAAGACGAAGGTACAAATGGAATTCAAGAAATCGTTTCAGAAATAACAGTGACCCAAATAACTGTTACTTTCACCAACGCTTTGGCGAGAGAGCTTACAATTGCACAGAGTTCGAAGCAGAAAAACTGAATCATCGGCTTTCAGTGACGACCAAGTGTGAAGGATCGAGTTGAGTCGTCTATATATTCGTGACAATGCATTAGCAATTCACTTTTAATTAACACTGGAGCAGAAATATCGGTTATCCCACCATCGCCATTGAAAAAAAGAAGTCTAAGTTAGACAGGGATAAATAGAAGGGCTAGGTCATTCCTTTGTTCGACTCCTCGCCGACGCGAGCCTCATGGAGGGGGGGAACCAGAAGTAATCTGACGTGTCTCTGTTGCACCTGCTCTGATTTCGCGCCTTTAAAACTGTAGTTTCATTCATTTGCGAGACGTTTTTCTGGAGATCGCATATCCCAAATTAATGTTAATCATACATATTTGCTTTCTGATAATGCAAATGTTTAACATAATTTGTGTGTGTGTATATATATGTATAGTTTTAGTCAGTTTTCCTTTTAAATTCTATATGTAAAGTATCCTTTATGTAATATGGCTTCTTGTGCTGTAGCAACGTGCCGTAAACACTTATAGAAATACGAAAGAAAGAGATTATTGTATTTCATAAAAGGATAATTTGCTTTTGACGAAAGAATGGATACATAAATGTCGAAGACAAGATTCTATTAATGTGAAAAACGCAAGAATTTGCAGCGAACATTTTCTGTGCAGTGATTATGAAGATGACATGAGAATCGCTTGCTTGGATTGCCGCAAAAGAAAACTGTTGAAATGCAATGCTGTGCCGAAAGTAAATTTATCGTGTGCAGTAAACGAAATAACACAAAGAAATCGGAGACATTTGAAAAGAAAAACTAATGCAGAGTGGTTTTGAAAGACTACACGAATTAAGCCAAAAGAAAATTTATTTTGAGGCCGAGAACGAAATTGAAGCTGACAATAATAAATCAAATGTGAATGATTTGAAATAAACTCACAAGTGACAATGCCCTATGTGACAATATCCCTGAGTGCTCTAAGTGTAAAGATAAACAAGAATGTATTGATAATTTGAAGAACAAAATAATATCCTTAGAAAATTGTAATAAAATATTGAAAAAATAGAGAAAAGAAAAATTTTAGAATGTTTGCTCAGCGACAAAGAAGGTGGACGACATCTAGAAAGAAATTTGTATCGGAAATTCAGAATTAAAATCCCAAACAGCGAAATTTAGGAAAAAAAAAAACAGAACAGATCGGAGAATTGGAAAAACGTCTAAAGCATATTTTTTACAAAGACGCAGATTAACGCATTGCTAGAAAAGAAGGAAAAAATCAGGTGGAGACTAGTGAAGATATTTCACGTTGCATTGTCATAGGAGCTCTGTCATCTAAAAGCTTACGATTTTTGGAAAGAAAAAAGTGGGAATTCCTTTACCTAGCACTAGCACATTAAAGGGATGGTGTGCTAAATTTTCATGTAGTCCAGGAATTCAGAGTGATGTTCTTGCTGTAATAAAGGAAAGATGCGAATATTTGAATTCTCTAGAAAAAGTATGCGTTCTCAGTTTCGACGAAATGCACATAGATTCTAAACTTTGCTATGACTTCTAAACTGGACCAAATTCTCGGTCCTTTTCCAAAAGTGCAGTTTGTTTTAATCAGAGGTCTCATTTCGCAGGGGAAGGAAACAACAATATTTTTTTATTTAACACTCCAATGAAGAAAGAACTTCTTTTTTCACTCATAAGACATATTCAATCATCTGGAGTAGAAGTGAAAGCAATAGTGTTGATTAGGAGCATCTACTATTTTGTGGAAAGAGTTACAGATTTCGATTAATAGTTCTCAGTTTCCAAATCCAGTATTCCAAACGAAAAAAATATGGGTTTTTGCAGATTTAGCGCACTGCCTCAAATTATTGAGAAACAACTTTTTAGATAAAGGATTTGTTTTAGAAGATGGAACTGTTTTAAATGTTGATATTATTAAAGAGGTTTTAAATAAAGATTCAGGAGAAATTAAATTGTGTCACAAACTAAACCAAATTATTAATGGTCAAGGGAAACGAGAGACAAAAAGTCGCTCCAGCTTTTATTGTATCCTCTGTTATTCTTGATTCGATTTTGGTTAGCTTAGCATTCTAGATAAATATATATATAAAGTATGATATTAAAGTAATTGGCAATAAGAAGACCTGCCCCTAACCCCCACTTTTGAAAAATTAAATAATTATTTTAGGTACTGTGAGTGAAGTTGTTTTTGTCTAAATTAAGATAAAAGAATCTACATGTATTTATTTAAATGAAATATTGATGTAAGCCTAGTTCAAAATTATTTAAAAAAAAAATATATGTATTATATTGAATCGGGATAAAAAATTGCCAATGTAAAATTTACAATTAGGCTGAAATCAAACTTAGATTAGCAGAAATTTTGCCATATATACCCATACATGTTTAAAACTATGCAATTTAAGGTTGTTT